ACCTGCCGTGAGGCTGGGGATGGTGACTCAAGGACACGGGCCAAGCTGGCACACAGGGCGGGGGTTACGTCGGCCGCCCGTGAGTCACCCGTGGCACTGCTGGCAGCCACGGCGAGCAGGGCCGTCCAGCCCAGCACCTCCATCTCTCCTTCCCACAGCCCCCTTCCCGGGGGTCCCGATGCCAAACCTCCCACCACAGCTCCCTCCTGCAGCTTGGCCCAGGTGTTTCAAACCCACTAGCCCTCTGCAAAGCTGCTGGGGGCAGACACAGAGGAGCCCACCTGAGTTTTGGGGCGGCAAGAGGCCAGGGCAGACGTGGAAACTGGGCGTCTGCGTCAAACCGAGCGATTTTCCTAGGCGCCGGAGTGGTCGGAAAGAGCTCCCTCTGTTTGTGAGCTCTTTGTGGTGCAATGGGAAAGTCTGAACACTGACCCGCTCCTTCCAGAGGGAGCTTTGTCCCCCAGGCAGCAGCAAACGAGCATTAGATCTTAATTACAGCGCTCCAGGCAGCAGAGACCCAGGATGTGCTGTGGTGCAGCACAGTGGGACACAGCTCTAACACAAACCTGCCAGCTGTGGGCAGCCTGGTCTCTGTCCCCAGCACAGGGGGACGTGCGGTGGCATCGCTGGAGCCCTCAGTGTGCCAAGAGAACTGGCAAACTCATAGCACTGATGACGGCTACTACAGCTCCCTGAGCCCATCGTGCCTATGGCTCCAGCCAAACTTCAGATCCTAGCACAGGATGTTCCCCCCCTGCTCCAGCATTGAAAAATCCCTTATTTTTCCTGCAATTTTATTACTCTAGGGTTTTGGTGGTTTATGGTGTGGGGAAGGAGCAGTGATGGAGAGTGGGTGCCTCCCAGCTGCCTCCCCCTGCCTGCTCCAGCTAGGCCTTGGGTGATGCCGCAGGCTGCAGCCGCTGTAGCTCCAGGACGCGGATGAGGAGGAGGAAGCCAATGCTCAGGAGAAGCAGCCAGAAGAAAACCCAGTAGTGCTGCGGGAGGAAGAGCCACGGCCGCCACAGCTCTGCCAGGGATCCCTTGGACCTGGGGAGAAGGTGACCGGGGACACCCGTCATCCAGAGGGGGAGAGCAAATCCCACCTCCACTCCAGCTGGGGATGAGGAAAATGTTTAACTCAACCCCAGACCTCACTGGCCCTTTTGCAAACCCAAATGAAACGGTTGAGGGAGGGCACAGGTGACCTGCAGTGCATGGGGGAAACTGAGGCAGAGCAGGGTCAAGCCGGGGCAGCCAAGCAACACCTCTGCCCTCCGTCCCCATACCCCCCAGCCCGTTTCCCATGTGCTGGCCACTGTGGGACCACAGAGAGTCCAGCAGCCATGGGGAGGATGCTGGACACACACAGGACACTGCTCACGTCAGCCCAAGCTGCTCCAGCTCCTCATCCCCTGCACTTGAGCCTCTGCCATCCACCTCGGCTGCTGGCTCCCCGGTCATGGTGCTGCTCTGGGCCTGTGGCTCCAGCTCACTCCTGGGGAGGGAGCTGGGCGGGCCCCTGGGGCCCCCCACCAGCCGGTACCGTGGCACCCCCACCACCTGGCACGGTTACCTCTGGGTGCTGGGCAGGCGCTGGGCCCCCTCCGTCTCCAGCTCACCAGCTGGGGCTGCTCGGCTGTCAGGGCTGGCACCTGGCTGGGCACCGAAGGCGGGAGCATCACTGGGGACCTAGACCCCCAGTAGCACTGTGGACACATGTCCGACAGTGGGGCACAGCTCCTGTCCATCCCCCCGCATGTGTCCTTACCAAGAGCTGCTTGGGGATGAC